CATTTTTGGATTCGACTAATCTAAATAATTTTGTGTCATCACCAAATTTGGCTGTCAGATTCCTTTTTCCAAATCACTCATAAATACATTAAACATCATCGGCTAAACTGAAAGGTGTATTTCACCTTTATGCCATGGCTACATAAATGCCATTTAGGTGCATAAAACTGAAATTGGATTTAGTCGCCATCAGGTCTAGTAAAAAAATCTTGGGGTACCCTGCTATTAACTTGTTTCCATGATGAAAGATTCCCATTTCTTAATCCTATCTTACTGTCTGAACCCAGGGCTTTGATCCATGAAAATATTATGCCCCTTATCTGGACTACTTAATTTTATAGTAACATCTTGTGGGATGTCTTGCCAAATATCTTTCAAAAGTCTAAATAAATTATATCAACTGAGCTGGCAGGGAGTCTGCGGAGTCAGCCCTGGGCTCCAGGAGGCAGTGTCAGGTGGTGGAGGGGCTGACTGGGCCACAAGAATGCCCCAGCCTGCAGAGCCCTGTGGCTAGGTGGCAGGCAGGGGTTTGGCCCCTGCTGCCTGGACTGACTGCCCAGGTCAGCATTTACACATGTACATTAGCGATGCATAGGGGGTGCATGTGCAACCCCTGAGACTGGCGATGCATCCCCTGAGGCTGGTTGCCCCTTGCTGCCCCCACCCCTCACTGACATTGCTGCAACCACCTGTAGGTGGTCCCCTCTTGGCCCACCCTTGCCGCTGACGTCAGCACGGCCGCCTGAGGGCTGTCCCCACTGTCTCCATTGCCACCTGCAGGCAGTTGCCATGCCCCCCCACCTCAGGAGGCACGAGGCGTTCATGCACATGTATTTAGTAGGGCTGTACAAAATTTCAGCGGGTGTTCTGAAGCTGTTTCAATGTGTTTCAAGCTTGAAACAGCAAAATCAAAATGAAATAAAAGGCTTTGAAATGAAATGAGGGCACTTAAAACATTTCAAGTTTCAAAGCTGGTTTTGCTGGGGAAGCGATCAGAGAGCTGGGGAATCAAACTGGGCACAGTTCCCACAGCTTTCAACTGTTTGAGATGCAGTTGCACAAAAACCCCTGCAGCTATCTCCTTGCAGCTTGGCAGGCTTCATGCCTTCAGGAGGGGCTACCATCCTTGCAATTTTCATCCAAGTCAGGCAAAAAATGACAAAGTTATAGGCATTTTTATGATTCCACATTATAACCTATGGGCGAAACATCGAAACAGCAAAACAGTTTAAATGAAACTAAACGGAACAGTGCTTCAAAACAAAATGAAATGATGAAACGAGACACTGTCCCTCCAAAATGGTGAAACAGAAGTCAAAATGAAATGTTGCTGTTTTGCACAGCCCTAGTACTTAGGCACAGTTATTTTTGCCACTGTAAGATAGTACTGTCCCCAACAGTGCTATGTTATGGCAGTGAAAATTATTTTGCTATAGTTGAATAGCATTGCATGCGTAGATGTGTGGAAGCATTGCTTGTGTAGAACACAAGACAGGAAAGTGCCTCCCAGGCCACGGAGCATACTGTAGGTAAAAGCAAGGGAGATGAGGGCACTGTCAATGTCCTATGCTGCAATGACAGGGAAGTAATTGATTTAATGGTTATCTTTAGTGCCAGTGCAGAGCTCTAACCACTACACTGCACTGCCTCAAAGACAACACATAGGCTAGGACAGACATTATACATAAACCAGTTTAAGTGATCAGAACCTGGTTTAAACCTGCAACAGAACAAATGTTCAGCGTTCATAAACCAGTCTGAAAATGGTTGAAACTGGTTTGAGATAAACCTGGTTGAATGTAGTACCAGATTTAACTGATTTGGGTCAAACCAGTTTATGCAACGTCTGTCCCAGACCCCTTGCTAGTTTCAGTTAAATCAGAGTCCCCCAGTATCCCAGCATGCTCTCTGGGCTGGGCGGGACTCTGCTCCATTGTAATCCCTCTGTTCTCTAGCAGGAGCAGGGGTGTTGCATGGCTAGAGTTTGCCTGCTATGGCCTCTGAGGCAAAGGGGCAGAAAGGAGGTTTAGTTCCCTCCTCTATCACCTTATATTGCACCTGAGGTTTGCTAGCTTGGCTGCACCTCTGTGACTTGCCTGTAGCCAGGCAAGGAGGGAATTAATTCCTCCCTCTGCCCTGCCCCCTTTGGCCATGGACTCCATGGCTTGCCAGCAGCCAGGGGATTAATTTAATTTCACAGTGGGTCCAGGAAAGAGGGGGGAGGGAGGAGAGGGACACTGGCAGAGGCTGCTTTGCCCTGCCCAGCACACCCTGGTTGAAGTCCCTACTGGTTAGACAAGAAAGGGAGGGGGGAATAAACCCCTGCACTACTTGCACTGCCAGGGCACCTTGTCCCATAGGCAGATTAATGAAAAAAAAGATTTTTTTTTGCAAAAATCTAGTTAGTCTAATAAAAGCTATAACCTCTACTGCAAGCTCTGATTCCTTTCAGCTGCAAGGAGATACTCTGCCCTCAGGATTATGGAAGATTCATGCAAGGCTTTCTTTTCTCTTCCTGGTTTATACTTTAAGTTAGACTAAGTTGTGTATGCTGTGTTTTACTGGGCTGTATTTTAGCTTAGGCAAAGATTTTTGGTAGTTGCAGCCTCAAGCATACATCAGGGAAATTGCTGTGTTCAATACATGCTTGCTTCAGAGAAAGAACTTTTTCCCCACTCCTCAGTCTGGCGGCAGCTGTCCCCCTTCTCCTCCTTGCTAGCCCCCGCTGGTGCCTGGCCATGCCCCCTCCACTCCAGCAGGGAGAGGTGAGAACCTTGAAGGGCATCTCTCTTCCCTCCTCATTGCCAGTGGCTGGCAGGTGTGCTCTAGCGCCCTTCGGCTTCTGGCTTGAGCCACTGCAGGCATGTGCCAAAGATCTATCCACTTGCAAACCAGTTCACTCTCTGCAGGTTAGACTAATTAGCGGATTAGCGTCCAGGATTAAGGATAACAAAAAGTCCTTTTTCAAATATATTGGGAGGATGAAGAAGGCGCCGGGTAATGTGGGGCCCCTGCAGGATATGCGGGGCAATCTGGTGGTTGCGTCAGAGGATAAAGCGGACCTCTTTAACCAATTCTTCACCTCCGTTTTCTTGTGCAGGGACCGGGACTTCCCTGCTGTGATAGAAGCCGGACGCGAGGGGATCGCCTTCAGACCTCAGGTTGGGGAGGACCGGGTTAGAGAGCTTCTGGAGGGGCTGGACGCGTTCAAGTCAGCGGGTCCGGATGCTCTCCACCCCAGGGTGCTGAGGGAGCTGGCTGGGGTTATTGCAGGGCCCCTGGCACGGCTCTACGAGCGATCGTGGTGCTTGGGCCAGGTGCCAGACGATTGGAAGGTAGCTAATGTGGTCCCCATCTTCAAAAAAGGGAAAAGGGAGGACCCGGGCAATTATAGGCCCGTCAGTCTTACCTCAATCCTGGGGAAGCTCTTTGAGAAGATCATCAAGGAGCACATTTGTGATGGGCCGGCATCCGAGATGATGCTCAGGGGCAATCAGCATGGATTTATTAGGGGGAGATCATGTCAGACCAACCTGATTGCCTTTTATGATCAGGTCACAAAGGCCATGGATGCAGGTGTCGCGGTGGATGTAGTCTTTCTGGACTTCAGCAAGGCCTTTGACACCGTCTCTCACCCCATCCTAATTAATAAACTAGGCGACTGTGGCATAGATGCCTACACGGTCAGATGGATTGCAGATTGGCTGAAGGGTCGCACTCAGAGGGTGGTGGTGGATGGATCATATTCGACTTGGGGGGAGGTGGGTAGTGGAGTCCCCCAGGGCTCGGTCCTGGGGCCTGCGCTGTTCAATTTCTTCATCAGCGATCTTGATGTTGGGGTGGAGAGCAACCTGTTTAAATTCGCTGATGACACCAAAATTTGGGGGGAGGTGAGCACGCTAGCAGGGAGAGAGAGATTGCAGAAGGATCTGGATAGGTTACAGGGGTGGGCAGACAGGAACAGGATGCGTTTCAATACGGACAAGTGCAGGGTGCTGCACTTGGGTAGTAGGAACCAGCAGCACACTTATACGATGGGGAGCTCCCTACTTGAGAGCACGGAGGCGGAAAGGGATCTTGGTGTCATTATTGACTCCAAGATGAACATGGGCCGACAATGCGAGGTCATGGTTGGCAGGGCTAACCGGACCTTGTCGTGCATCCACAGGTGCATCTCGAGTAGAGCCAGGGAGGTGATCCTCCCCCTCTATGCGACGCTGGTCAGGCCGCAGCTGGAGTATTGTGTCCAGTTCTGTGCGCCCCATTTCAGGAGGGATGTGGACAACATGGAGAGGGTCCAGAGGAGGGCCACCCGCATGATCCGGGGACAACAGGGCAGACCCTACAGTGAGAGACTGCGGGACTTGAACCTATTCAGCCTCCACAAGAGAAGGCTGAGGGGGGACCTGGTGACCGTCTATAAACTCACTAGGGGGAACCAGAAGGGTTTGGGGGAGACGCTGTTTCCCCTAGCCCCCGCTGGCATAACAAGGAGTAATGGGCACAAGTTGATGGAGAGGAGGTACAGATTGGACATCCGAAAAAACTACTTCACAGTCAGGGCGGCTAGGAGCTGGAACCAACTTCCAAGGGAGGTGGTGCTGGCCCCTACCCTGGGGATCTTTAAGAAGAGGCTGGATACTTACCTGGCTGGACTCATTTGAGTCCCGTTTTTGTTTTTAGGGTGAGTGGTTTTGTTTGTGTTTTTTGGGTTGTTCTCCCGCCCTGGCGGGGGGTCGGGCTAGAAGATCTATTAGGTCCCTTCCGACCCTGAAACTATGAAACTATGAAACTATGAAACCTGCAAAGATTGAATCATTCAGGCTCAGGCTTTTTGCCTATCTGTCCCTAGGCATAATGAGTAACATAGGCTTATGAAGCTGCTTTCTCCCCTACACAGCAAACTCCTATATACACACAGGATGGAGAAATGGGGATACAGCTTACACGAGGGTAACTGAGCAAGATCACAGCACATAAAAAAATGTCATCATTCATACCTGGCCTGGTTGTTATTCTTTGTGTTGCTTCAGGGTAAACTGAAGTATTAGGGAAAATAAAAGTTGCACCTCCTGTAAACAAGAGGAGACAAACCACTTTAGAATTGGTAATCCCAGTCTTATGCTTATTTGTGCTTCTGATGCACCAGTCAGCTACAGTACATTTAGTTGAATTAATTGCATTAGTAAATATCCTGTTCCTCAGGAGTGTGGTGTATAGAATTTGTTACTGATCTCCCTTACACCAGGGTAAACCTGTTCAAGCCTGTGGTGATGCATCAGTGAAAGGACAGTGCAAGAAGGAAGAAAATAAAATCTAAATTTTTCAAATTTAGAAAAGCTCATGTCACATTTCAAATGGTTTCATCCTTGTTGTGAAATACAAAGTTGTGCTGCCTGGTCATCATTAGCAACGTGCATATATTTTCAGCAGACAACTGATGGCATGAACCAAAGCCCAGTGAAGCCAGTGAGTCTTTGTGTTTATTCAAATTGGCTTTGGGTCAGGATCTCAGATAATTAATTCTCTATGTACAGTGAAAAACAGTTTGATACAAAAACATGATTTCTGACTATTTCAGGCATTTAAATCACTTTCACTTTGTTAACTAACTTATAATTACCATGGCTAGGAATTTGAAGGAGGCCTAATTGTGTTATGCACCTGATTGCCATTGATATTAATAGAGATTGGACACTAGACTACTCTCAGGCCACACTGAAAATCCCACCTCAGATTTTGACCCACACAGGATAATGTTTCTTATTCTTATACAACTGAATAATCATGTTGCCATAAGCATTGCTTAAGTAAGACTAGTATATCAATAATCCCAGCAATATATGAGTAAATGCAGATTATTTGGTTTTGGCCAACTGAACTCAACACTCGCAATCATATTGCATGTGTCTGGTAAAATAGGGAATCATTAGATAACTGTGCACAAAAGGTCATTAGAAAATGGCTATCGTGAATGTTAGAGATGGAAAAGGCTACATTTAAAAAACTAGATTTAAAGGTTTATTCCAAAACCCACTCAATCCAATGGAAAGACTTGCATTCCTTTAGTGTATTTTGGATCAGGGATACAGTGCACAGAGAGAGTATACATCAGATATTAATCATTTAACTTTAGGCAAAAAACATCTGATCTTTGAGCAATTACTGGCTAATTCTTTAGGGACACTCATTTCTAATGACCTGAGTGAAAAACTAGATAAATTATGAAACAGAAAAAAAATGCGTTTTTTTTTTTTGTTAGTAGCGCATTTCCATTTCTGGAAAATTGTTATTTCTGGTCACTGTAGGTACCTAATAACCTCAGGCATGATGATGCAATACCCAGGATGTTTATTTAAGCAAGCAGTAATTCTCTACTGCACAAATGCTAGAACAACACAGAATTTACATTGATTTTTATAAATACTTTGAATCAGATAATTTTTGCAGAAAACAATACACATTTTAGAAGTGTTTCTCATAGTTCTACCTACCCTCCATACTTGCCTGGAGTGTTTAATAGAAGGGTTAGTATTAATATTTTTGTACATTAAAAAAAATCTGAATGGTAATCATCATAAAACTTTATTGAGACTTTGGGAATAGCCCATATAAACAATATATATGATGATATTAAGATGCATGTATCTATACAGCAGTGCACAGATAAAAGATTCTGTATTTCGTGGGGCTTCAGCAGAGCATAATACTCAGGGAGCAAGTCTGTAAAACATTATTAGAAAGGCATCTTCATAAAACGTAATTTTTGTTCTATTAAAAAATACCCAGGCATAGTGTTAGAGTGGGTAATGGATTACCATAATAAATAGGGTTCTTTCGTTAAAAAAGACACACAGCTTTCACATTCTGCAAACTATAAAACCCTTTTAAAATTCAGAAGATTCTATTCTTTGTTGGCATGGTTTTAATTAAAAGCTTAAAATGGAAATATTCCATTTTCAAAAGAGCCAGTACTATTTCCCATTTTTCTATAATGGGGAAAAATAAAATTCCTGCTTATTCATGGCTAATTGCTTTTATAATAAAATACTATTTAAATATATGATGCAGTATACTGCATGGGAGAAACCCCCACACACACACTTAATTACCCGTACTATAAGATGATCTTCACAAGTCTGCTCTTGGGCTAGTGCAGTGCTCCTTGCTAATTTCCCATTTCTGTTTTTAGCATGCAACTCATAAACAGGAATCCTGTGCTTTTAGAAGATGACCTATAGGAATGGGAGCAGTGCCAGCATTACCTGTGTTTCTAGCATGCATTAACCGTGGAGAGTTTTGTAAGGCCTTATCAACATCATCTGAAGTCAAATGTGGAAGAGGAGCTACAAAACAAAACAAAAAGCAACACCAAAATGAAAAAAAAACTGAGAATTATCTTTTAAAACCATTTCCCCTGATAGGACTATTTTTATAAGTGTCTACTACCAAATGGTTTAGTTCTGTTGTTGGCAGGGCAGGTGTGAATGTTAAACTTAAACAAGGGTATTCATTTAATTGATATTATTCATACATATGTATGACTGATTGTCAGTGTGAGTGTGGAGAAGACTGCACCACACTGGTGTTGCAATGCTTGTTTTTTTGGGGGGTTTTAAAACCATACTTGCCTATTTTGTGTTTTTAATGTTACAGATTTGCAAAATATTCTCATGTGAGGCCTTAAACATTTAAATTGGTTGCCCTTAGAATATTAGCCATGGGCTACACATCCTTTGGCTCCATTTGAGGGGGCTCTTCTTCATGGAGATACATATCTTCTACTAGGCTCAATGGAGTTACATGCACCTATAGAAAGTAGAACAGATGCCTACATGTTCAAAGAATCATGCCTGGAATTTTCCTTTATAAATCAATGCTTTCACTCTCATTTAGTGTCCTCATATGTACAATAGAAAGAAAAGAGCATGTGACCAGAAAAAACATTATCATCAAATCCCACTTTATTTTCTTCCTATACTATGCAGATGAATATGCTGGGGTTCAAATTGATCTTTGTCTCGGACATTTTGAGACATTTCTAATCTCATTTCTATAAGTAATCACAGCAAGTCTGACCAAAAGCCCACTGCAGTCAATGGAATCTTTCCATTAACCTCAACAGGGTTTGGACCAAGCCTTACAGAACATTGTCACAAGCAGTGACACTTGAGGTAGAGACCTTTGGCATTTCAAATTCAAAGGCATTACTACTGAAAAGGTTGAGAGGTTTGTTCCAACCGTTACCACAAATTCAGAAAATTTTCTTACTCTCTCTGAGGTAGTGTAGATGTGAGAGGAGGATATCTGCATTATAGCTGGGGGTGAGTCTCTGGAAGTCATCTTTGGTCATTTTGCATAGCTCCTTCCCATCGATGTTCTGGAACAACAAGATGTCAACGTCTGGAAGACCATATTCCTTCACAGCCCATTCCAACCACTGACGCACGTGGTCTGTGCTCCACAGTGTAGGATCTGATGGTTTTACAAACATACTGTTATCGATTTTTATCTGACGTGGTGGACCAATAGCAAATTACTATACACTGGATGCATCTACACGTGCAATTCAAAGAAATAAATTCTGTTTACCAATGTATATCATTTACACGTACATATCGTTTACACCTGTGCCTGGAACCACAGCACATTGAGCTGGGTCAGAACAGCTCCGGGTGGCAGCAGGCCTTTGGGGTCAGCCTGCCAGCCTGGGGCTGCTCTGACTCAGCTCAACGTGCTATAGAGGTGCTGTCTGGAGCATGAGGGTGTGGCTAGCTGGCAGGCAGCCCCAACGCTGAACCACCCTTGCATCTCAGCTAGCTCTGTCAGCATCTACACATGCGTTGCTGTGCATTAAAAACTCTGCCACAGGGGCAGAGTTTATTAGTTTACTGTGGCCTAATAGGGCTGCACATGAAGATGTTGAGACATTTACTGTGAATCTAATTAGGCAGCTCCACAGTAAACATCTTGTGTAGATGCACCAACTATAATCAAACTGGATCATCTTAATCCCTGTTATATTGACTTCAGCAGAGACATACCAGAAATGAATTTGGTCCATTAGGAGAAAAGGAGAGCAGAGAAAAAGTCTGAGTAAAACATCATGGTTTGGCCTGTTATTCACTAAATTAGCATAGCTTTTAGTGGATAGAGCATTCTTTACTTTCTACTCTAAAATATTATTTTGTACTAATGTATACTGCTACACTGCTCCTGCCTTACAGTAGTTTTTGTGACCTACATCAAGTTGTGGCAAAACTGGTTGTGAGAAAAAAAATATGATCTGTTCAACTATTGACGCATTCCTGAATCCAGTCCGCACTTTGAGGTTTAAATAAATCTCTATTCCCAAGTATACCTCCATTTACTCCCTTAAGTTACCTCCTCATCCATCCCAAAAGACTACTGACTTTCCATTATTACTGTATATTACAGTAGTTTGAGAGGCCCCAAGCAATACCAATATCCCTTTTAAACCACACACTGGGTATATCTATACATGCACTTTACTGCAGAGTAGACTAATTAACTCCGCAGTAAAGCGGCACTCTCTACATGTGCACTGGTATTAGGGCACAGTAAATTAACTCTGCCATAAGACAGTACAGTCAGGGATAGTATTATATTAGTTTGGAGTTATTAACTGTGGTGCAACACACATGTAAAGGTTGACCCGAGTGTAAATTGCACCTGATCAGCCAAGGAAGCAGAGGGTCAGACTCCTGCCTGCTACATGGTCTGTACATTTGGCACTTCCGGGCCCTAGCCAGCTCCTCTGCCACCACCCAGAGTCTAGGGCTGACCCCCAAAGCCTGCTGCCAGCCTGGGCCTGTTCCACCCCGGCTCAAAGTGCTGCTATTCCAGGCACATGTGTAGATGCTGTGCTTGGGAGCAGTGTATTCTGGCTCAAACAGCTCTGGAGTTTAAGCCACATGCAATTAATGCAACAGGATATTCATAGTAAGAGACAGGTGTGCCTACATTTTAAAGAGACAGAAGATGATAGATACATACTTGGGAATTATGCAAGTTTGCACATAAAAGCCATGACCACACATAATTGCATAATTTTGCATAATTTAACTATGATGGGCTCTCTGCCTCCACCTCCTCAGGGCTTCTGGCACTCCAGGTGGGAGCCCCATGACGTGGATGCACAGAGCCATGTGATTAAACAGCTGGGTAAGTGGGGAAGGGAGCTCGTGCCTGCAGGAGGGGTGGGTGTGCATGGGGTTTGTGAGGGGGTTGGGGCTGTGTGCCATCAGGCTGGGCCAGCCGGCTCCATGCCTCCAAGTGGGGCTTCCAGCACTTCAGTGGGAAGCCACATGTAGAGGCAAGCAGGAGCCCACCCAGTTCAATGGAACATGACTCTGTGCCTCATTGTGTGGCTTCCCACTAGAGTGCTGGAAGCCCCCACATGTGGAGACCCAGCCTGGCCCGATGGTGCATGACCGGGAGCTGCATGCCATTGGGCCAGGAAGGAAGCTGCAAAGGAGGTACGGAGTCATGTGCCATCGGGCCTGCTGCTGCTGATCTGCTGGTGGCGAGGGCTGTGCACCATGGGGGGATACGTGGGGGGGGGGGCCTACACCCACCTACACACATCCCCACAACCCCCCACACCCCTTCATAACCCATGTACAAACCCCATACCTACCCACAAACCCCACATATTTCCATACTCACAGCCCTCCACAAATCCCACACCCATTCAAATCCCCCCACACATCCCATACCTCTTCACAACCCCTTCACAAACCCCACTCCTCCCATACCCACATACAAACCCCCCACACAGCCACAGCTTCACAAATCCCCCTCACATACCTACTTCACATGCACCCCCAACCACACAAAGTACCTGCAAATATTTCTAAAGAAGGTTCAAATAGTGTTATATTTTAATTTGGTAAAAAAGAAAATGTAATTAATTTTGCATAATTTTGAGTTTTCCTGCTCATCATTTTGATTTTTTCTGCACATAATTTTTAACTTTTCTGCACATAATTCCCTGAGGTGTATATAGAGAGAACGAGACAACATACACTGAAGATGAGCACTGAAGCATTAAGAGACTAGTTCAGGTTCAGACAAGAATCTTGTGGAAGAGTTAGGAACCTTCATGTTTGGAATTCCCATCTAGTGCATTAGCCTCCAAAATTACTTTTCTTCCCTTAGTCAAGTTGAACTACATTTGTTTCCCCCATAGCCATTTTCAGAGGCATGTGGCATTGATCAGCTAAGTCAGCTTATTTGCTGCTGTTCTCTTCAACTTCCATATAGTCTAGGATTTTTTTTACGTATGCTCTTATAGGTATTTTAAGCTTTTGAAGGTCTGAACCCTTAGTCCTCTGGAGTTTTTGAGATCCATCATGTATGATGATACCACATCAAAAACAAAAGTCTCAAAACAGCATGACTTGTGTAGTGGCCCATAATCTAGTAAGTGTTGGTCTGAAGAACCCTAATGGACCTCATGGACAGAGTGCTAGTTGCTGAGGAAGGAAATGTGCACTGGTAGTGTGACTTCCAGGAGGGAACTAGAGTCCTTGAGGAAGAGAGGATAACTGGTTGTCAGCCCTAACAGGGGTTATCTAAGATGGCTATCAGTGCAATTTGATTCATACAAAAGTGAGTAAACAAAAGCTTAAGAGGTTTGCCCATACTTTTATTATATGTACAAACTTTCCAAAGGCTTCATATTTATGGTGATGAATTTGAATGTGAACTCTAAGCTCTATTCAAAATGTTAGCTGAGCTGTAAATTATGAACCCTTCTTTTGGACTTTCCAAATCTTTGCCACATCAGCTGGTACATTGCACTAGTGGTGGAGAACTGAAAATGCCTGGATGTACAACAGCTGAGTTTCACCCAAAATATTTCTTCTTTTGTTCACAAAATAACTGGTTGTGCTTATGATCATCTTTCTCCTTGCATCACATTCAAATTCATCTAAAAATACATTGCAAAGGAAGTGGATAAAAGGAAAGTGAGCTTTATGATCTTCACAAGTCGGTGGTTACTAAAAGACTGGAAAAGGTAGCAATGATCATTGAAAGAAATATTCACTTTCCAAAGTTATCCAATGCTATCATGTTCAAACACTGCCTGTTTTCAGTTTTTCAGAATACTTAATCATTCAATGTCTCACTTTGCTGAAGTTCAGAAAAGCACTACCTAAATACATGTGGAGGATAATGCAATATATTTGTGTGCATATGTGTGTAGCTTAACAAATAACTGAAATCATTGCAGCTTGCAAAATTAGCCACAGCTAGTACTCTTGCAGACCTTAGCAACCGAATAACTGTAAAAACATTAAGCAATATGGAAGCAGCAGCAATGTTTCATACAAAGTAATTTCTGCAGTATGGAAAATAATAATCCAATATACTAGGTGTTATGTTTGTTTGTATATTTGTATATCCATATACCGAGTAGCATGTATATTTTTTGAGTTTCCATTATGATTATTTAGGCTTTTTTCTTGCACCTGAGGTGCCCAAAGAAGACAGTCCACACAACAGTGAATACTTTCTTGTTCAATTAGTCTTCTGAATCCCACAATAAAGTTTGCTACCATATACAAAGTTTATCAGCCATGCCATTCTATTGCAGCAAATTATTAGGTTGCTTATGAACATTTATTACACATTTCAAGCACTGAGAATAATCTCCACAAATGGGTTTTATAAATTCATAGAATCATGGAAAACTAGGGTTTGAAGGGACCTCAGGAAGTCATCCCATCCCCAACCCCTTCCCCTGTTCAAGGCATGATCACCCCTGTTGTTTGATTTCATAAAAGCCACCCTTTCTGTTATGCTTAGGGCCAGGTGGTGTCTTGTATTTGCATGGAGTGGGATTACCAGGGACAGATTAAGGCACGGGCCCAGGGGGGCCTCTGTCAATCAGGACCCCTGTGGAAAAAATTCATAGGGAAGGTTAACTGTGTGTGACAGTGTTGAGCTATGACCACTTGCCTTCCTGCAGGCACTGTGGCACTGGAAGACACCAGACACCAGGCTGAGGCCGAGGTGGAGTCGATGCATGTGGGGGCCAGCAAGGACCCTGTCCCAGGCTGCAGGCAGCGCTACAGGAAGAGCCAGTTGCAGTACAAGTGCATGATCGGGGGCCTGGTGGTGCTGCCCAACACACACCCTTGCCTGGCGGCCCTGCGGCCAGGGCGGCAGTCGGAACAGCCTCCTCATCGCATGCTGGATGCTTATGGCTGTGCACTGTCTGCAGCACCAGCAAGGCTCCGCGGGCGGGGGGGCGGGCAGGGCTTTCCAAGCCAGTTTGGGGCAGGGCTGGGTGGGGAGCCAGCGGCCCCCAGTGATAGCTGTTTGTGCCCAGCAAGTCCAGCATCTCTGAGAATGGGGTCAGGCGCAGGCTGACCTGCTACAGTGCTGATACCCGTGGCTCCACAGAGCTGCAGATGGAGAACTATGTGCTCCACAACAACTACTCTCAGGCCACCAAGCACCACGACATTGGTGACTCCCCAGCCCAATTGTGGCTTCAGGGCCCCTCCCTCCCCCTCAATCATTCAGGGTACCCCCATGCCTCCCCTTAATATACTCATGTTTATAATGGGGTGCGGGGGGCCTCCAATTTTCTGTTTGCTCAGGGTCCCAATAAATCTTAATCTAGCACTGGGTGGAATAGTTCCTCTTCTCGTGTTCTGCACTAGGGTCAGTGAGGAATCATGCAAAGACCTGGTCAATCCCTTCAATCTAGATGGTGGCAAATTGCTCTGTAAGCCACTGATAAAGTCAGGGAGGAAGCAGCTGCCAAAAAGCAGTCAGCATTGGCACATGAGGAGGCTTTCTTATGTTATTTCTCAAGTCGTTCTTAATAACAACCCTGGGAGTTCATTTTTTTTCTTTCTAATCACTCTACTTAAATTTAGTCTTTAACATGTTCCATATCTAGTTTAGTATAGAAGATGGCTAATGTTTTAAATCTTATCAGGTCAACAAATTTTTTCCTAGTGGTAACAGACTTTATTACTTGAAAGGGGAATTTCTTGTTTAAACTTTCTAACCTGCTGGAACAATAACTCTTCGTTCATTAGTTGTCATGTTTGGTGGTGGAACATGTTTTTCTTCCATGTAGCTTCCATAATTCATCCCAACAGTGTCAGAGCTGCCAACCATCTTTCCTCCTTTTGCCACACTGCAGTCATCAGGGGAATTCCTACAGAAATGACAAAAAATGCTTAAACGATTATACTACCCATATTACTATTTTCAATAATAGCAACACTAATGTTATACAAGCTAGAAAGAAAGATTTTATTGTAAGGACAGGCCAGTTTTTGGAAACTGTGGCAACTAGCATCAAAACTGATTTGGGACCTTTAATTACCTCTGCTCTGAAAACGTGATTGATTTCAGTACACTGCTTTACGTCAGGGGAGGCTCTGGCCCGACATGTTCAAACCTACAGTTGCCAGAAATTTATTTTTGAGGGTCAGGCTAGAATTGGACTTTGCTGGTGATTGTTCTAGGCTTGATGGCCACAAGCAGCTATGCGGCTGCTTTCTGTAAATATGTTATAGACTAGAGAACATTTGAAAACAACCCTGGTGCACAGAAAGCAGGAGATGTAAGAAAAAAACTATCACAAGCTGTTTAGTTTTGGAGTACTTTCTCCCTCCAATGTGGTTATTGTTACACTAAGCTGATGCTTATTTGCCCATCATATACTGCAGTGTAGACATTCTTCTATATATGGCTCATATGAGGGGCACTTTTGGCAAAGCTGCGATTCAAAATATCAGAAGCATGATGGGGGTAAAAAACTTTCAGCTCCTGACTAGTAGAATCTCCTTGGTCCTATAGTTAAGCACTGAAAGTCTGCAGAGGATTTGCAACCAGACATCTCTTTAATTTTGGCTTTGGTTTCTGAATAGAGCCTTTAGAGTTTAACATTCCATAGAGGGGTTCCCTAATGGCCTTTTAATAGCATCACGATTTGCTTCCTGCCAGACATAGGCATATTTAACCCTTAGTTTAAGATCTACATTATGTTTCATCATACAGCCAAGAATTGCTTCACAAATCAAAAGGAAAAGAATATAACCCTTGAAACAGAAGGGCAATTTTTTTCTTCTTATACAGAATTGAGATCATAAACATTCATGTAATTCTGCTATTTAATATGCAGATCTATTCTCTGGTTGTATATAGCAGGCAAAAAGTCATGTTAGATTAGACAGACATTCTATCTACAAAAATATTACTCTCAAGACATTTTCTTTTACTTGAACACTTTATCCCATAAAAGGATTTTGCACCTCAGTCTTGGCTTCTCCCAAACCCAATCCATTAAAGTCAGCACAACTGAGTGGATCTTCTATGTACTGAAACAGGAAAGCATGGTTCAGGGCAGGCCTATGTGGTTTTTACATATAGACCAAAGGCACAGATGTGACAGTTCTTGCCCAATCTGGGCCCTGAAAGTGCCCTACAGCCATAACCAAACACAAGTACATGACTGCAGAGTGCTTTAAAAGGGCCCAATCCCACAAAAATCTGAACCTGAACCCTCATTACATGAGGGTTCAGATGAAGATGCTCCAAAACACCTCAGTCCTATACCAAGGATCTCTATACCAAGGTTCATTCTTCTGAATTAAAAGGGTTAATCCAGCAAAGGATCTGAAGAATTCATTTTTTTTCTCTTCACTATGCAGTGTTTTACATTTGTCAACTTTCATTTTCATTTGTAATCATATTGGTCATTCTTCCATGATGGTTAGGTTCTTCTGGTGTCCCTCACATTCATCTTTACATTTGACTAATCTAAATAATTTTGTGCCATCACCAAATTTGGTTTAACCTTTTTTCCATGAAGAAAGATTTCCATTTCTTAATCCTAGTTTACTGTCTGAAACCAGGGCTTGATCCATGAAAATATTATGCCCCTTATCTGGACTACTTAATTTTTATAGTAACAGCTTGTGGCAAGACATATGTCTTGCCAAATACCTTTCAGAAGTCTAAATTAATTATATCAATTGGTTCCTCTTAATCTACTGCTTTACTGATTTGTTCAAAGAAGCATAATAGGATAGTGAGGGAAGATTTATTTTACAGAAATTGTGTGGGGTAGATATTATATTATGCTCTTGTACATGATTTATTATTCAGTTTTTACTAAATCATTCAACTAATTAATCAAGTACACACATACTTGTACTTGGTTACTTGTCTGCAATTTTCTGAATTTTCCTGAGACCATACAGCCTCAACATTTGCTATACAGCAATCTTCTGGTATAATAAATATTGTTTGAGAGAGACCGTATATTTTTAGTAGCGCTCAGATGTATACCACTTTGGTTAAGTAACTGACTGCTTTTTCAGGTATTAGTTTCCTTCAACACCTTCTTCCAATAACTCATACTACTGAATGCATCTAGACATGCCATCAAGGCAGTGTGGTAAACTCTGGTGCAGTTTGTGCCGGAGTTTATCACAACACCTTAATGGCATATGTAGGTACTCAAGCTGACACAATCCAGGACACATGTGCAGATGCTGCACCTAGGACTGAAGTAGTTTGAACCAGGGTGGAGCAGCCCCCAGCTGGGAGGGAGTCCGGGGGGATCAGCCCTGGGTTCCAGGAAGCAGTGTCAGGCTGTGGAGGGGCTGGTTAGGCCACAAGTGTGCCCCAGCTTGCAGAGCCCTGTGGCTAGGTGATAGGCAGGGGTGGGCTCCAGTCCACCTGCCCACCCTCCAGTGTCAGCTGCATAACTCTCAGAAGGAGCTCCCTCTGCTTCCTGTCCTCCATTCTATTCTGAAAATACTGCCCTGCCTGGGAGGGTCAAGCAGCATAGGCAGTGGAAAGCTGGGGTTTGGGGGAGGCTTAGCCCCCCCCACAAATTAATTTTGTGGTGGCTGGTGACAGCAGCAGCACCACTGCACTGCTTGGCATGCAGCCAGGCCAGCATCCCATGCGCACTCAGCTCCACGCAGCTGAGAAAGAAAAGGCTAACTGTGCATGCGTCGCACTGCACAGAGCACGATAGGAGTTGTTGTTCTCATGCTGATGCATGCACTCAGCCCCCCAAATAATATTTTCTCCCTCCATCTATGGGGTGTGGTGTTGCTAGGGGAAAGCAGCTGCTGTAAACAGCAGTTTGATCTCCCAACTCCAGGGACTCAGCAGTGAATGTCTGTTGGATCCAGGGGATCGTTGTAACTCATTGTGCTTCCTGCAAGGTGCCATGAGTTATAACGGGGAACTGCTCCTCTGTCTCTACCTCAAGTGTTTCAACATGAGTCTTGCAAGCTGCCCAGTTCAGACGATTTAGCCTTCTAGTACAAGCAAAGCATAGGCATATCAAAGGGGAAAACTGTAGATGTCCTGAATACAGATGCTTTCACAGAACTGCTTTGCATTTGTCTGAGGACAAAAAGGGAAAGGTACACACACTTTGTCCTACAGTCCATGCACTGTATGCAAAAGGAATATAAAGAGACAGTTCCTAAATATTTCCTTAAAGTACAGAACTAATTCAAGTTTGCTTCTATTTTAAAGTAAAGATTCATTTTCAAAACCCTGATACATTTGGTGTTCAAATATTCAACACACTTCCAAATAAAAGGTCCAGACTTCAGGTTTCAGTTCAGCAAGTTAATGAAGCACATACCTAAATGCAAGCACATTAATAGTCCTATTGAAGGCAACAGTAGTCATTCTTTAAAATACCTTGCCGACTTCCTACTTACATAGTTTCTAATTTACTGTTTCTGAGAGAATGAAAAAAAAGTGTTTCATGCTGAAATAACTTTATACCTATGAATTTACTGCTTTGCTATTGCTGTGCTGCTGCAATGTGATGACAGCATGCAATCAACAGGAAAAAAACTTCCTGAGAAAAGGATTTTGTTTTTTGCCATTTTTGTGCCAATCAGTTCACAGATTTTTGGCTAGGTCTGCACAAGAAGTTACACCATAAAATATAAATCAGGCAATTCCAAATATTGCTAATGGGATTTTATGGTAGGGATTTTATTTTGTGTCTAAACTGCACAGTAAAACCATTATATCATCTGTTATCTGTATATGTACTTATAATAATTTAATATCTCCATTTTCAGTAATACGTGTATGTGATTTTCATTACAGTTTTCAGAGAATTAACAACACGATATCCTCCAACATTTATACTTGGAGAAGTGAGGTACAAAAAAGTTAAGGTCCAAGTTATTTAAGGTATCCATTATTTTTGTGCCTCCATTTTTATTTTATATTAAATAGCATTTGTATAGATCTGATCATGGCATCTGATTTTTGAGGTGTTATACACTGGCAGCTTCAGTTCAAGTCATCTGAAATTATGAATACTTTGCAAATATTGGATTCATTTTTCCATATCATGATAATTAAGAGACAAAAAACATTTCACTGGTGTCATGCCAGAGGCTGTTCTCAGCTCTGTGAATACAGACAGAAGCTACCCATGATTGTCTTAGAAATACTAGATTCCAATAGTTTTCAGCTACAAAATAACTGCATAACCTTCTGAGTTCAATCTATTTGGCGTTAACGAGCAGCAACAATTATGCCAACCAACAGGCCTAAAATAAGTCACAAAGATGGATGTAGGAGTTATACCACAGCAACACACAGCTTTAGGTTGTATGACAGTGGATTTAATCTCCACCTGCTCAGTCAGAACACATGGGCTTTATTCCACCAGGGCAAATGTTCCCCCCCACCACCACTGCACACTTTTGAATAGATAATTAAGGGCTGCCTCCTATTTCTATTTAAATCGAGGTAAGCAGAAAAACAAATAATCTTTTTCCCCCAGACATATTTACCTGCCACAATGAGCTTCTGCAAAGTTTGAGGGTAAAATATCACTTTGTTTCTTGTTTACCCTTAACGAACAGAAATGGCATCTCTGTATTATTCAGTTTATATACTTAATCCAATTTATACTGAGAGATGCAGGCCAAATTCTGCCCTCAGTTATATCTGTACCACTCCACGGAAGTCAGTGAGGTTACACGGACACAAATGAGGGCAGTTTGGCCAGTTCAGTGAGTTTTTTGAACACAGAGATTATTTTGAACAGATTGGGGAAAAAAACAAACAAACTACTATCAAGATCTTCCAAACTAACTGACAAAAGTGACTGGATTTTTATTTCTGTAAAAAGAACTTGGAACGCAAGGCAAC